AGGAAGAAAGAAGAGGAAGGAAAAAAAAGAAAAAGAGAAAGGAAGAAGATGAACGTGAGTTATTTTATTTTATTTTTTTAAAATATAAATAGTAATAATGTGAGTTGGCATAAAAAAAAATCCACATCAACACGTTTTCAATTTGTTTTTGCCATGTCATCAAAAAAATTATAAAAAATGCCACATAAGCGAGTTAACAATCGAAATTAACAGAAGGACTAATGGAGTGCATTTCGTATAGCTGAGGATCAAAAAAGTGCAAAAAATTATTAAAGGACCAAAAATATTCATTTCATAAAGTTGAAGGACCAAATTAAACATTTAACCTTCCGAGAAAGGATAACAAGGTTACAGATTGGGTGGCTAAACAGTCACTTAAAGGGCAACGCCCCTTTTTTTGGGCACATAGACCTCCTAATGTTCTGTTCTCCTTACTTTTACAGGATAGTCTTTGTAAATAATTATGAAATACTATATAAATTTCCATTTCCTCAAAAAAGAAAAAAAAGAAAAAGAAAAAAAAGAATGCCTTAAACGCGAAAGATATGCTCCTCTCCCGATCTTCGGTCGATGTGCCTTATCCAACGGCCAGGCCCCTTCTTGGCAATCGAATCCCCACCATTAGCGTCCACATGAGCAATATCTAATCCTTTCCCCACGGGCAAGAACACCGATCTCGCGACACGCGTCCCTCTATGAAGCACCCAATTCCACCGAAACCCAGTACATCTCCTGTTGCATGCATTTTTGCATGCCAAAACCGCTCCGCCGTCACTCAACCTCGCGCGCCTCAAAACACTGGCGAAATCATCGAACTTTGAATCCACCACCAGGAAATCGACGCCTGAAATCGCCGCCACCAACTCTCCCCCGTCTCCAACCACCACATTCATGGGCGAGATTCCTGCCAGCTCTCTCATGGCCTGGATGTATCCCGATCTCGACTGTTCATCGGGGACAATGCACACATGTCTGCCACTAGTGTGACTGGCAGCCACTGCGAGACCAACACTTGTTGCTATCGGGCCACCGTGTGACCAAGTCTCCACGATCAGCTTCGAATTCCAGCCGGCAGCCATCGCCGACAGCAGCTCCGGTACGCCCGGTTCCTTGAAATTTTGACACTGTAATTCGCTGCAAATTATCAGATCAATTGCAAAAACAAAAAAACAAAAAAACAAGAGCTAGGTGGATTTCATAGATACTACTACCAATTGAGGTTCTAAACCTTAATTCAAAAATATATTAACGTTTAATTAAACATTAATTAGTTCATGCGGCACTACTTGTAAGAACCATGCACCAACAAATTGCAGATATATAAAAACAAAGTCAAAAAAATTAGAGGGGAGGAATTAAGCAAAGCTAACTGATTTAACGGTGTCTATATAAGCTTTTGAAGCCATGTCCGCACACCAAACAAGCTTCATGTCTTCTAGCTTA